GTTACTTTTTCTAATACTCCTTTGGATCATTGATTTCTTTTTGTAAAGTTCTAAATAGAGCATTATTTATATCTTCAAAAATTATATCTTCAGTATATATAGCTAAATCACTAAGCTTATTTGCTGCAACTACTATACTAACTGAATTAATCTTGGTGTCTAATAGAGGTATGCCTGTAGCTATACTACTTTTCTGAGAGTTAGATATTTCATAAACTTTTTCTAACTTGCTATCTATAAATAAGATATCAACTACTATTTTATTACATATTGCTATTTTTCTATTTAGATACTTGATTTCTTATAAGATTATTGAATTAGTAAAGTTTTCTACTCTCTCTACTTTAGTTACTTTAGCTAAGGCTAAGTTAGTCTTAGAAGTCTTTGCAATCAACTTCAAGCTGCTGAATCTGTTACTTTCTGTAGAGCTTCTTTTGATTGTGACTTAACTTCTGTTATTATTAGAATCTCATTTTCATTAAACTTTGTTTTGCTTTTTTTAATCTTTTTTGTAATTATGAGTTCCTGTTCAAGTTCTTTGAGAGCAGTCTTCAGTACTTCTTAACCTTCTTCAATAATTATCTTTTTTATTATTTTACACCAATTTCTAGTTACTATAATAATCTTAATACTTATCCCTATAATTCTAGAAATTAGTTCATCTATTTGCTCTCTACTCCCTTTTATGCTCTCGATTATACTAGTAAGCTTCTGTGGTTTCTCTTTTTTAAGCATTGCTTTGATACTTGCTACCTTTTTCTTGTTTAAAAAGTAGCTTTCTTCTGACTACTTAGAGTGATTTTTATCTGCTAATATTATAGCTAAATAAATTCTGAATTTATTAAAATAACTTTAGCTTTTTTTCAAAAAACCCTGAACAATATTCTAATTGTCTACGTTCTGTTCAGTTTAGATGCTATATACTTTTTTTCTATTGGCTTACATATGATATATCAAATTAGTGATTTATCTACATATAGTTTGTTTATCTTGTTTTGTAACTTTTGTATTATATTAAAGGATCTGCAAGTCATGATAAATTCAAATCCTCACTTTTTACTAAAAATTTCTATGACTTTTCTTTGAGAGTCAAGTTTTTTCTAAATTTTTTAGAGTTACTAGTATTTTCCTTCCAACTAGATATAACTTTGTGTATTCTTTTCTTTTACTTAAAGCCTCTTGTACTGTTTCTTAATGTAGTTTCTTATAGAAATATAATTTTCTTTAGCTCTAAAAATAGTTAAAATAGGTCTGGCGATCTTAATGTAGTAGTTAGATTGTTAGACTGCCATGCAAGAGGTCTGGGGTTCAAATCCTACTGTCAACGAATTTGAATAATTAATCAGACCTTTGTATCTAACTTACAGTAAACCCTGTCCGTTTCTGGGGTTGTAACCTTATAAATTACATTGTACCAATATTATTCAGATATTGGAAGTATAACAGAATGTTCAGAGAGCATAATGTTACACAAATAAATCTTAATAGAATCTATAGGCAGGGGACCTGCATGGTAGAAATCCTAAGTTGGTGAAGTAGTACAGCTTTCGATAGTTATACTAGCTAATGCTTAATTCAGAAAAGAAACTATCATCAAAAGATACTGATTAAGTCGAGTACGCATAAATCTGTTCCATAGAGAAGATCAGTAACACCAATCTGGCTTGGCAGCTAACTAGATTGAGAGGATCTGCTTCATGAAACATCTGAGAAGATAGATACAGAAATCTGGTGGAGAGCCATAGTAAGAACTAGGGTTGTATGAACATCTGCAAGGGTCTAAGCTAGGTGAATTTGTGAAATAGGCATAGACCACTCTAGTAGGATTGCTTACAAGGTTAACTGAAGCTCTGCATGCCACAATATGTTGAGCAATATGTATTCTGAGAGGACCTAAGCTGAGTTAGATAAATAGATCTGCAACAAGCTAGCTGGCTTAAGCAGTTAGGTATTACAGTGATGTTAGTTGATTCTGGTATTAGTTAGGTGAACAGAGTGTTTAAATAGATAACTCACAAGTGGGTTACAGATATAGCAGCTTGTGTAGAACCAAACAGGTATAGCAGACTACTTAAATTAGACAATAACTAAAGTTATATATGTAGCAGGTTGTACACTCTTCATGTAATTACAAACTGTAGAGGATTGTCAACAGACGATCTCATATATTAAACTAATAAAATCCACTCAACATAGTAAGCCACCTTTAATTAAATAAGAAAAAAATATATAAATATTTTTTATTACATTTTTTAAATATAATATTATTACAATACTCAGTTTTAATTACTCTACTAATATATACTTTGTTGATAAAATTAATTTAATAATAAAATTACTTTACTAACAACTTATTTTACAAACAGCTTATTTTACTAATATTATTAATATTAAAATTAAATTTAGAGTTAAGTTAGAGTTAAAGAAATTTATAATAAATAAACCTATTAGTAAAATAAGTAGTTAGTAAAATAAATTATTAGAAAAGTAAGCCTGTTGATAAATTAATTATAGATAAAGTATTGTATTAATAAAAGGTGTTCTTAAGCAACTCTCTTAATATAATATGTGACGACTCTTCCCTGTAGATCATTTTACCAAATTTTGTACTAAAGCAAAAACATATATATCTAAAAAACTACAATAAAAAATAACTTAAGTTGTACTAAGGAAAAAGATAAAGCACATAAAATTACATATAGTAGAGGCAAAATCTTTGGAACTACTAGACTTATTTAGCAAATAATAAGATTTTCAAAGAAAACTCAAAGAATTTTGTAGAAAAAGTAGGAATTGCAACTTATTCTGTATTACAAATTATTTTATGTTACACCAATTCAAAACAAACAAGGTAAACAATCTTCACGTGTATAGACTACTAATTAGACACATCATATGCAAGCTAATAGAATAGAAGTATACAAGTTAGAAATCAGACAGAACGTAGGCAAATAGGAAATATCTCAGAGATTTTTGAGAAAATACTGAAGTCACTTTGAATATAAGTGAAATAAGATCTAAGAAGGTAGCAAGTATTAAAGCTCTGCTTAAGGAAGAAGAACCTCAAAAGATAACTAATATAATTGAGGAAATGAAAAGTCATCGAGAGCAAATTGATGAGTATATATCAAGAATTACAGGTATTAGTACTAAAGTAATTATGGTAACCAGAAACTGGCATAAAATAATAAAGAGAATAATCATAGAAGAGGGCAAAGAGCTCCTAAATGATGCATTTATTGAATTAGAACATGAGCTACATCTAGTAGAAGAGCCTAAAAAAAGTATAGCAAATCAGAAAGAAAGTAATTTGCAAAATATAATAGAAGATCCAATAGCGAAAGATATGATACAAGAAGCAAACAACATAATACAGCCAAAGCTAGAAGTTAAAATACCAATTACTAATTCAGAAGTAGCTAAGAAAGCAGAAACAAAGAATTCAAGTAGCAATAACCAATTAATTATCACTCAAGAGATCGAGTATCTAAATAGCAAACTCTCAAATAAAAACAAAACAGCAGTTGAGATTCTTTTTATAAAGAAGGAATCTGAAGATAATCGTAAACTATTAAATATGCAAGAGACAAGTAGCATAAAGAGTATGCTAAGTAGTAGTGAGGAAGGCATTATAATGAGTTTTGAATCTACAGAGATTAAGTTAGAAGATCTAGCATTAAGAACTTAGGACTTAATCCTGGAAGATGTAGCGAATGCTTCTCTAGAAATATCACAAATAGAAATTAATAACCCAAAAGAGTACTAGAAGAGGCAATTAGATTATGCAGTTACAAATTATAAAGAGCCTCTTGGATCATCTCTTGAAGATAGCCTTTGGGCGCCTAATAAAAACTCATGTGAAGATATAGGTAACTTTAGAGCAAGAATTGCTTCTATTTCACTTCTTGGTGAAACAAAGGAAGTACATATTAAGTTCATCAAAGGAACTATATACAGAAGTAGCTATATAAGAGAAGTCGAAGAGCACTTTGAGAATGGTAATAGTTAGGTGGTTATTGAATTCGACTATTGTAAAGGTCTTGAGATATTAAGAGAGAAACTAAGAGAGAAAGCGATCGAATGGTACAAAGTATTATTTGATAAGTACAAAGTACAAAAAAAGCATAAATGTATTATCGACAAGACAGCTAAGAACAAACCAACCAAACTCAAAGAAAAGAGCCTTACTTAAGAAGCATATCAAGTTTTAGCATTTGAAGAAAAGAAGAGCAGTTATGTGAAGAAAGCTCTTGAGGAAAAAGAGAAAATATCTCTGAAAGAGAATATAATCACAATATGGGATCTTTCAATTTAGATAAAAAGAATACATATCTTTGAATCAGTACGACATCTTGGGAGAGTCATCTTCATACAGATTATTAAAGAGGCATATAGTAAAACACATGCAGAAGTAGAGTTTATACTGAATGCTATTTATATAAAAGACTTAGAAGACATATGGTGCATCCCGTTTTTAAGTAACTGCTTAGTTAGAATTACTTTTGGAAGAAATAACTCAGAAAAACTCAAGACAAGAAGCAAGTTCTTTAAGAAAATACTTGACCTCTCAGAGAATGCAAATGAAGTACTTCTGTGAAGATGAGTAAAATATACAGGAGCTAAAGCTCTTCATATCTTCAAAAATACTAACCACAACAATAAGAGGAGTGCAACAGTCTATTTTACAAGAGAAGCAGATCATACAAATTGCGCAAAGTTTGTAACTTTCTACTATAGTCAGAGATTTTCAAAACTCATAGATCATTTCTAGAATAGTCCAAGATCATCCTCTGTGGTTCTTATTATACAGTATTATCAAAAAATTCGTGATATTTCATCGATCTAATATATAACTAATACATAGCAAAAGTCAAAACTAGTTATCGATATATATATTTTCAAGCACATACTTTAAGAATTCCTGAGGATCCCTAAGACTTAACAAATTAGTTTTTTTACAAATTCAAAGTTTAAATTTTATAGTTCGTATATTGATCAATATGAATTCAAACTCTGAAGCCAAAGATCGGCATTGCTTTTTTGCTTTTTTTATTAAAGAGCACAAAGATAGTGACTTGCTAAAATATATAGAGATATGTAGAGTAGAGAAATGGTGAAATGCATCTGCTGCTGCAGCAACAAAAAGAATAACAGAAATGGCTAAATATTTTTCTGAATTAACTCAATATCTTGACTCTATGGAGCATTATTCTTTATGCGAAGGGCATTATAACTAGATCATCACTAAAAAATCTTTTATTGATCAATTAAAGAAAAAAGCTAATCCAATTTTATCTTTAGATGAACTAGAGAAAAAAAGATTGAAGTTTTCTAATGATGATGTTGAGCCACAAGTTTTTGAAAAGACTTTTGTCGATTTTAGCATTTAAGTAGATTTGTTTGAAAAAGCTTGTGTTGATTTTGAATCCCAAGTATCCTTTTCAGATCCAATTCTTCAAAGAAGAATTGATGAGTTAGAAAAAAATAATAAGAAATTATTAAGTAAAAATGAAATATTAAAAAAAAACTAAACAAAAGATTTACTAACCAAGAAGATCACATTCATTTCATAATAGAGATTGCCAAAAAAGAATGGAGTAATTTGTATGAAGATATAATAAATATAATAAAGAATCAAGAACGGTTTTCTTTAAGTAGTCTTTTAGAGTATTCTCCTTCCAAGTGGCTTGCTGAGCGGAATCCAGTCGTCATCAAGTTTATAGAAACTCTTATGTATAATGAGAATAAACATCAGCATGAAGAAAAAAGCTTTTCAAGTGTGCAGTAGCAGTTGATGCTATATATTGGTCAAGGCATTTAAGATATGTATTGGCTATTAATTTGGCTATTTCAGCAGTTAAGTATTTATTAGCAAGATCAAAAATGATCATTGATATGATAACTATATTATTAGCTCCAGTAGTTATACGAAGTTCAATAATTGGTTAGAAAGTTTAGCTGGAGAACAACTACAGCTTCCTGAAGGTTTTTTGTTTTTAGCCTTTGACAATGAACAGAAAGGTCAAAAAAATTATTTGGATCATGGGAATAATACAGTTATATTCCACATGGTTACGAGTTTTGTTGCATTTAGCTATAGCCAAAGTAATAATATTCAAAGTGAAAATTCTTGGCTATATACAGAACTTGACCAAAAACAATATGAAGAGTTATTTTATTTATCATCAGGTATGAGTGATGAAATTAATGAAGAACTTACTAATTATCTTTCAACTATTTTAGATGAGCTTTGCATTGAGAAAAATTAAGAAACGAAAACAATCGACGAATTGGTTAATCAGCAAAGTCAAATAGGACATATGAAAAAATGTACAGTTTGCCAGACCTCTAATATTGATAATAAGAAACGAGTTTGCCCTAAATATCAAAATAAATTACTAATGATTGCTGAGATAATCTATGAACAGCCTAAGACTATAAATGCCTCTGAAAAATTACCTACTATTTCTCCTTATATATTTAAACAATGATCAGTTCTGGAAAGTGAAGTCCATACACTACAAATATTCATTTCTGATCTAATAGGAATTAATCCAAACTCAGTTGCTAATATTAGAAAAGTTCTTGAGCATATTGAAGAAATATCTGGAGTTAAAAACAGTAGCCGTAAATGGGTTGTAGTTATCTGTAATGGAATATCATATCATCATATATAAAAAATAAAAAAAAGATTTCCCTTGGCTTATATTAATTCCGGGTGCCTTTTATGAAGAAATGAATATGTTAAAGGTATTTATTAAATTAAATTAGGTTATTAATTTAAGAAATTTTGCTAAATGCCAAGGATATCGAACTGACAACCAACTTCAGTTCTTCAAAAAATGCTCTGATCATCATAAGTCATGAGATTCTATATATAATATATATAGGCACGCAATGGTATCTGAGTTAATGTGGCTATATATTATTTCTGAAGAAAATCCTTCTGTTGAAGGATTTTTAAAATGAGCTCGAAATTAGACTGATCATACATTTAGGTTAAAGTATGACAAACTTTTATTTATTTGCAATCAATTATTAACTTTCGTACCAGTGTTTGTTTTAATAGGCCTTCACTAAAGTTTGCAGCTAAACAAATGTTTGTACCTATTTGGTCTGCTCGACAGCATCCAATCTATCAATTAATTGAGATTGCTAATGAAAAACAAATGCTACGATTAAGGCCTAAAATTCAAAATTTAATCCAAGAAAGGTTGTTACTTCACGATCTAAACTTTCAAATCAACATCAAGGCCATAATGCAATACTTGAAGAAATTAACAAATTATTGAAATCATTAATTCCTCCAATACCTTCACAACAGTATTGGAAAATTGCGGCATGTAATTGTACTAATTTTTCAAAATTGCATACTAACATTTTTAATATAATAGGATACTCTAAAAGTGAAGCCAATGAGCTTCATACACTTCCTAGTTTTACTGCTGAATCATGTCAATTCTGGGTTCAGATAAGAAAAACTCAATTCATAAATCCAAATGCTGATAATTGTATTTTTCAAAATCTAGGTAGAAATTAACATTATGCAAACAAATGACAAGATTTAGTAAAATCGCGAGTATAAAAAGAAATAAATTTATTAAAGCAACATTAATTAAAAAAACACCTTTAGGTATTTGGCGTCCAATTCTATAACATGTAATGAGGCAGAACTTCAAAGAAGTGAAGGTTCTTTAAAAAAATTGGAAATTTTATCGATTATTAACTCTTTAATTCCTTCTTTAGGTGATTTATATCGATCACGCTTTCGTGGTTTATCAAATAAGTCCCGTAAAGATTTAGTAAATATTCTTCAAGAAGTCAGAAATATATTAGCTGAAAATAACATTAGAATTAGTGAACAATAATTGATAGAGTATTTTTCTTGGAAGATTTGTTATTTATTATCAATATAGTTACTATCTTATTTATGTATGGTAAATATAATATCTTTATTTATTAATAATTAATAAAATAAATAAAATTAAGTTTGATATATATTTTGGGTTAATCGTTTAATGTTTTAAAATATTTACTATGATTAAGTAATTTATCATGACAATTAATGCGAAAAGATAAAGTAACATTTTACATAATATCACCCACAAATTCAGTTCAAGAATTTTCTGATAAGGCTAAATTTTATCAGACATTTTCACCAGATACTTGAAAATGGCGAATTAAAGGAAGATAATTTTAAAATGAATTTTTAAAGCTAAGAAGTGTTCATCGAACCATTTATTAAAATTAGGAGATAAAAAAAGGATTTT